TGAAGAAATAGAGACCCAGAGTAAAGAAGTCAGCAGCCGAGATGGCCCAGCTAGTTGGTCCCTGAGTTTTGCCTGGAACCTTAGCCTATATCTGCAAGTCCGATGGGTTTTTCTCTACCCTGGGGGTTGGCAAACTACAGCCCCCCACCCCAGGCCAAATCAGGCCTGCCACCTGATTTCGTACAGCTTTTGAGCTAACAATGACTTTTGCATTTTTACATTGTTAGAAAAAGTGCCAAAAGAGTAATAATATTTCATGACACGTGAAATTACATGAAGTTCAAATTTCAGTGTCCATAGATAAGTTTTATTGGCACAAAGCCACACCCATTCGTTTATGCATTGCCTACGCTACTTCTGTGCGACCATGGCAGAGTAGTTCTGTGAGAGATAATGTATGGCCTGTAAAGCCTAAAATATTTATTAATTGGTCCTTTATGGAAAGATTGTCAACGCTGATATAGACCACATTGACACATCTTTGACCAAGTTGTCAAAGGCCAGGAAAGACATACACTTCATCTCCAAAGAGTAACACACATACTTTTAAAAAATCATTTTTCCACCCAGCAGGTGTGGCTCAGTGGTTGAGCATCAACCTATGAACCAGGCAGTCACGGTTCAACTCCCAGTCAGGGCACTTGCCTAGGATGCACAGTAGGGGGCATGCAGGAGGCAGCTGATCAATGATTCTCTCTCATCATTGATGTTTCTATCTCTCTCTCCCTCTCCCTCTCTGAAATCAATAAAAACATATTTAAAAAAATAATAATTCCAAATCCAGTAGGTATCATTCTGATATACTAATCAGGACAACAACCACCAGTTTAATGCATACATCCAGAAAATAAGAATAAAAATATTCAGCAAGGCAAATAGCCATTCTGTAGTTTAACCATATGTTCATTTCTTCTTGAAGGCACAGAGACGAACATTGTTTAATTTGACTTGAATACCAATAGGTCCTTGAAGTAGCCTAGGGACCTACTGGTGTTTTACATCCATAATGCTAGTGACATGTGATTAAGCCCCTGGCACTTTTGTGTAAATACAGTTTTAATCTCTGATCAGATCAAGCATCCATATTAAAGGACTTCAGAATCTAACACCAGATCTGAGTTTAATTGAAGGGTCACTCCTACATTAATTAAAGAGTTTAAAAAAGTCAAGAGTCACTACAGTTTAATTATACATAATAAGTATTAACCCCACATAAATCTTTAAATGATAAATCCTAGGGAACAAGCTTTTCAATATTGGTATCATATTCAAAATTAGGTAGTACAAACATTTCAAATAAGTAATAAAAAGAAGATTGTCATATTCACATAGCGTTGACATGATTGGAATAGTTTTTGTTAATACTAGTAACATGTATGTTTATGTGTGTGTGCATACTTAATGAAGGCCGTGCTTTGTTTACAATCAACATTTAATAAATACTAGCTTTTAAAGTAAATGACCTCTCTACTTTGAAAGATTTTATTAGAATAATTATATATAATGGATATACACTTCTTCATATAGTTAAAAATTTTTACTGGATCAAATAGACTTTTTAAACAAAAATGTTTTTATTAATTTCAGAGAGAGGAAGGGAGAGGGAGAAAGATAGAAACATTAGTGATGAGAGAGAATCATCAGTAGGCTGCCTCCTGCACTCCCTCTACTGGGGATCGAGCCCACAACCCTGCCCCAAGGGGGAATCGAACAGTGACCTCCTGGTTCACAGGTCAAAGCTCAACCACTGAGCCACACAGGCCAGGCTCAAATAGACTTTTTTCTCAGTTACTGAGAGTTGGTAAGATTTAACTCTATGAATGAAAAATATGATTTATTTCTTCCATTCTAGTTTACATAAATATCTGGTATCTGAGCCCTAGGCTATAAAAGATACAACTGGCCATCTCTCACACATAGCCCGAGAGAGGATTCATTTGCTATTAGAAGTGAAAAAGTCCAAGAAAGCTGAATCTTAAAATCTAAATTGTACCATCTGATGACTTTTTAAAAACACTTTTATTTAAATGACTCACGCATTTTCTCTGGGCAGATCAATATTTTTAAGGTACTTCCCAAGTCTTTTTTCTTTTCCCTTTCTCTTTCTCTGTTTAAGCAAGTATCATAATCCTATTTTAAGTATCTTTTTAATATTGCTACCTCTGAAAAAAATTCACATTTTGGTGTGAACCGTGAGATTTGCATAAAGCCTGGTCCAGATACCAGCCCCTGTTGGCAGAGAGTATATATAATCATACCAGGAGATCAGACCCTAAACAGATGTTGGGTTACAGTTCTGGTTGGATCCCTGTAGTAAATCCTTTCTGAACAAACTTTGATAGATGGCCATTTTGAACAACGATATTTTCATAGTGGTCAACCTTGAACTTCTGTGTTTTCCATTTTCAGGAGTACTCTGTGAAAGTAAGTAATGTCCCCACAATAAGGAAATTCCTTGAACCTGGCAGCAAGAAGAAGCCACCTCCCGATGAGATCTACGTGAGAACCGTCTACAACGTCTTTATGCCATAAATCAACACCGATGTTTGTGAGTGAGAACTGGCCCCTAGAGATCACTGTGTCCACACTAGTATCTTAGTTGATGTCAGGCTGCCTGATCACCGCTCTGTCGTGGTGCTCTGTATAATTGTTCCTAAGTTGGGTCTTTTATGTCAAAGAGATCTCTTGTAGAAACACGGACATGTTTGTGTCCAGTGGATAATTGTTATGGGTCCTTTTTCTGAAAACCTTTGTGGAGAGGCTGACACTTATGTTAGATTTGATCCGAACTCATTTCCTGATAACAGGGTTGGGCAGGAGCTCAAGTTCTTCCCGGAGCTTCTTTTCACCTCTCCTTACCCCATTCTAAACCCCATCTGGTCTCTTCCCAATTTTTAGTGTTTAATAACAACAGAATATCTAGTGAGTATCTCTCTCTGAGCTATTATAAATCCATAGTAGTGATGAGTGCAGTCGATATTAGCCAAAATAAAGAATTTACAAATCATTGTCCTGTTGCTAGAATTTTTAAATTAAATTATTTGGAATCTACAATTACATGGTTCAAAAAGGTATAAAAGGCCATACAGTTGGAAGTATTCTTTTTAGTCTTGCCCCCAGCTACCTGGTTCTCCCCACAGGCAAACATAGTTATCATTTATATATCTTTCCAGTTATATTTTGTATCTGTGTTAGAAAATATAAATGGATGTCACGTTTGTCTTATTACTCAAATGTTCATTTGTAGGCTTGAATTTTTTGCATTTCAGACTAACAGGATAGTTTATTCATGCTGCTTTAAACATGTGTTGATTTTATATTAATTGAGCACCTATTATGTGCCAAGCAGGGTTCCAGGAGGCAGAACCCTAGGATAGAGCCCCTGCTCTAGGAAGATGTACCACACAGTGGGGGAGGTCGATGTGTAAACAGCAGAAGTAATTGGGGAAAAGGAAGAAATGATGGTTCTGGACTAATACTCAGAAATTTAAAAACTAAGGAAAAGCACATTTTTTATGAGGGTTTATAGTGGGGACACATTCGTCCCTTACTGCAGGAGGGGTTTTTGCTTGGATTAAAAAATATATATATAGCCATGAGGTGATCATTAATGCCTATCACACTCATAGCAAGGGCCTTGGTGTTTTATTGGAGGAAAATCAAGTGTAGACACCAGGTAGTTGTTTGTGTTCACGCTTTCATAGTGTGGGCACTCTGTTGTCACGCTAATATTTAGAATTTCTGGATGAACTAGGGCTTGGTGACACGTGTAGCATTGGACCAGGCCCCAGGAGCAGTGGTGGCCCGTCTACTGCTCCTGAGGGAGACACCCAGGGTCCGGCCGGGATCCCGAGAGCAAGAGCCAAGGAAAAGAAGAAAGCGAGGGAGTGTGTAGGGAAAAGACTCACCCTTCCCAAAGGCCCGACCAAACACAGGTCTGACCTCTGCCTCTGGGAGGTGACCTCTAAGCCCTTGGAATGTCATGCCTGATAGGAGTGTCTTTGTTTGCCTGGCGGCCTTACGCCAGCCAGATAGTAACTAACAGTGTGATTTGAGCCACAGCAATAATGCCATGGAGGGTGGGGGCTTTGGGTCTTGTGGTGTCAGCTCAACTATGGAGGAGCTGGAGTCGGATCAACCACATGGGCAGTCAATTATGTCCATGTGATGGAGCCCCAATAAAAATTCGGGACTCAAAACTTGGGTGGGCTTCCTGGTTGACAATACTCCATGTCCCACATGGTTGCCAGGAGGAGTTCATGCGTCCACGGCTCCACAGAGAGGACGTCTGGAAGCTCAAGTTTGGACCCCCCTGGACCCCGTCCCGTGCGTCTCTTCCCCTGGCTGGTTTCCGTCTGTATCCTCTCTCTGTAATAAACCGTAGCCGTGAGTATAACAGCTTTCCGTGAGTTCTGTGAGTTCTTTGAGCGGCTTGACGAACCTCAGGGTGTTTTTTGGGGCACCCCCTTGAACTTGCAGTTGGTGTCAGAGTGAGGGTGGGCTTTTGGCCTGCTCCTTCTAACCTCTTCCGGGAAGAGAAACTTTTACACTCATTTGAAGACTAATTTACACCATGGAACCAGACATGGACATCATAGCACCCAGAGGTCTGTATTATGGAATTGTGTAGGATGGCAGCAAATTTGGACTATTGTATACCATTTCGATGTGATTTTACTCTCCAGTGCCACTGCCTGACAATATAAATCAAGGGTTTGCTGTATAGACCTTAGGCCATTTTATAAACATTGCTCTTTGGATTTTAATTCTCGTAGCCACCAGGGGGCCCTCAATGCCGGCTCTCTGAGGAAACAGCCAGGAGGAAGTTTGGCTTCTGCACTGAATTAGAGGATTACAGAAAGTAAACACAGGAGGCCCGGCTGTTTCCGATAAGGACAGATTCCCATGTCTTTCCTGCTCATGGTTACATGACCTTAAATTGTGCAATTCGGTTGCCATATTGGCAATAAGTTCCCCCCTCCCCCACCCTCAGGTCAGGTGAACCAGTGAGGTTAAAGGGCACAGCCACGTATAGAGCAGGTACAGAGGCCTGGTGTCTGGGACAAAAAGGGAAAGCTGATGGTGTGAGGCTCTGGTGTCTGTGACAGAGGAGGAGGTGCAACGGGTAAGGAGCCTGGGACCCAGCATTAGCCACTCAGAGAGGCTTTGGCAGACTGGGTGCCGGGAGGAACACCTGATCTCCTCCTGCTGCCTGTCTGGGGCCGTCGGTAGGGGCCAGCCTCCTGGGGAACCCCACAGAGCAGAAAGTGAGTTCCACTGGGCAGGGTCTGCTACAAACAACCAGTGTGGGCTCTTGTATTTGCTGGTGTTCCCTCTTCATCGAATGTGCCCAGGAGAGTGAGGGCGGGTTCCTTCTTGTCCTATCAGCGCACATGTTCCCCCCTAAGGGAGTCCCTCAGACCAGGAGGCCTGTAGCACTCCCCGAACACCCAAGTGCCTCTTTCTCCTCAATTTGTTTTCTTCAGAGCACTTTACACCCTCTGGCCATTTTATCTGTTTAATCAGTCTCTGTCTTTATACTTAAAGTGGGTTTGTTGTAGAAATTATAATTGGGTCTTGTTTCAGTCCACCCGTAGTCTCTGTGCTTTAATTGATGTATTTAAGGCCACATTTAAAATCCTTATTGCCGTGGCTGAATTAATCTGCACCATGTTTGTAACTGTTTTCTCTTTGTTTCCCTTGTTCTTTGTTGTTTTTTCTTTTGTCTTCCCCTCTTTTTCTGCATTCTTCGGTTTTAATTGAGCATTTATATGGTTCCATTTTTTCTCAGCATGTCAATTATACCTCATTTTTAAAAAAATATATTTTTCTTGATTTCAGAGAGGGAGGGAGAGGGAAATAGAAACATTAATGCACACCCCCTACCGGGGATTGAACCTGCAACCTGGGCATGTGCCCTTGACCAGAATCAAACCCGGGCCAACACTCTATCCACTGAGCCAAACCAGCTAGGGCTATATCTCATTTTTTTTTTTTAAGTTTCATTTGTTGCCCTAGAGTTTGCAATATATATTTAAGCTACACTAAGGCCACTTTCAAATGGTAGTGCAGGTACCTTATAACACAGTTTTCCCAATTCCTCCCTCCTGTCCCTTATAACATTGCTGTCATAGATTTCACTTACCCATAAGCTGTAATCATCTGATATATTGTTGCTGTTGTTATTTGAACACACTGCATTTATTTCTCTATATATTCATACTGTCCATCTTCCCCAACTAGAATGGAAACACCACAGGAGTAGGGATTGGGCCTGTCGTGGCCACCATTCTAGAGTCAGGGCCAAAACAGGGTCTCAGGGTTGAGTGAGCCAGTGGGGTCTTCCTTTCTTCTTCCTTGGGTAACTTGGTGGCTGTCAGATACACTGACAATGGATGTAAAGTGAAGCCCCGGGGGCGTGTGCGAACTGGAATACTCACTGGCTAATCCCTTGAGTGGGCGGAGCTTGCAACTGGACAGATAAGGGTTATAAACCTTCACTTCGTCCCCCACCACACCAGAGACAAGAGCCAGGAAGTGATAAGGTTAGTGGTTAAATTTTTATACTCTTCTTGGGCTTGGTTGGATAGTTACATTTTGCGGCCAAATATGCAGCTTATAGTCAGCAATTGTTTTAATTTTGTGGTTAATTTAATGCCTATATTTCTAAACTTGCCTATATCAAATGAAAGGAACAGATATTTTTTCCCCTGCAGAGTAGATACGTAAATGAACACGGTATGGCAAGTTACAGCTGGGCCTTTTGAAGACTTTCACTGCCTATGCCTGATCACATGGTACCAGACATGAACATTCCCCCACATCCATGTCACACATTACATGTGAGAGGACAGTGGTGCTTCAGTTGATTGGTGGACATAACAGACTTAGCAGAACATAAACATGTATTACTATTTGAGCCGTTACATTTTTCCCTCTTAGGCAAATCTCATATTTTTTACATAGTTGAAAAAACAGAGATGCCACCTGCTCTGTGCCAGGGTGCTAACGGGTAAACTAAGTCTCCTGCCTCTAGGTGTCTACTCCACTATGCTTGGAAGATTTCTTCCAAATAATCTGCCACTGGGGTCTTCCTCTGGGGTCCTGCATGCCTGGGGAACTGCAAGTTGAAAAGCAGGAGTCTCTGAGTCAAGCCCTGACACCATTTTTTTTTTTTTCTAAGACTTTAAACAGCTTCGGGCCATGTGGCAGCTCACCTGGCTTATTCTCTAAGCAGCCTTGGTGACCTAGGTAAATGCAAGTCTCTTTCTTGGCTGTATCTTTCCTATAAGTAAGTTTGTGAGTCTTGGGGGTATAAGCCAACCTCTTGTGAGTTTTGCGAATGTGAATCAACCCATTAGATACCCTCATGGAAAGGAAACTAAGGTTCTGAAACTGAAATACAAAGCTCTCTGGAGAAGATGCTTATTAGCATGTGAGCTTGGCCTAGAGCTCCCTCCTGATCGTCCTATTCCATCAGCAACCCACCCCCTCTCCACCTAGGAATATTGTTCAGCTGGGTTTGTGTATTAAAAATGCCGTATAAATACTTGAGCTCTTTTTCAAAGTCTCATGTAGGAGACTTTCCCTTTGATAAAATCCAAATACTGAATATGTCATATCTTACTAATGATGTGCTTTGCTATTGTTATATATTAGCAAAATAGAAGAGAAATAATTCATAATTGAGTAAAAACAGACAAACTTTAAAGCTATACTGAAAGTCTTGGTTGTGCTCTGAAGCAGTATATACTTAAAGCTAAAATGAGCTACTTCTTTCCAAACTAGCAAAGTACAGTTCTGTGGGGAATACAGGGTTACCTGGGAGAGTTTTCTGTCTCCGTGACAAATTTTGATCTGCTGGTTATAATGCAGATAGGCCATTCTGATCCATTGGAGAAGCCAGAGTAAATGTCAAGGCTATTTCTATGGATAATAGGTTTAGAATTGACATCTTGTATTCTGACCCAAAACATTTGCTAAAACTGGAAACCTTTTCAATGAACCCCTTAAATTTTTTATGATCCAGAAAAGTCAATAAAAGCCTGCTTTTTGCCTACCTGTTCAAATAAGTGAGAAAAATGTGTGTTGTTTTGCCTAAATCATCCAGAGTGACTGTTAAACATTGTCAGTTCACTAGAATTTCACCCCCAAAGATTGGCTGCTTTACCAACGCCTGCATTCAGCAGATAGGAGCATAGGGCAAAGAATGAAGATGAGGGAAGAGAAGCAATATCAGAAGGATTGTTAAAACTGGAAGAAACGGAGGAAATTATCTAATTCTGACCAACTCTTCATTGTATAGCTGAGGACTGACATTTCTTCCAGACATGCCCAGGGCTGGAACCTACATATCTGGTACTTTGTTAACATTGGGAATTGAAGAAGGCCTCGCTCATATCCTAGGAATTCCTCTCTTAAAAATATGCTATATAATAAAAGCCCAGCGACTGAACAACAGAATGACTGATCGACCAGTTGCTATTTGGTGCACTGACCACCAAGGGATAGACGCTCAATGCAGGAGCTTCCCCCTGGTGGTCAGTGCACTCCCACAGTGGGAGCACCACTCTACTGACCAGGATGAGCGGAGCTCTCACAGTGGGCTGATCCCAGCAGGCCATGCCCCCCACCAGTGCATGAATCCCGTGCACCAGGCCTCTAGTATATGTATATTGATTCCAGAGAGGAAAGGAAGGGGAGAGAGAGATAGAAACATCACTGATGAGAGAGAATCATTGATCAGCTGCCTCCTGCATGACCTCTACTGGGGTTTGAGCCCACAATCCAGGCATGTGCCCTGGCTGGGAATCGGACCGTGACCTCCTGGTCATAGTCCCATGCTCAACCACTGAGCCACACTGGCCGGTTGGAATTCCTCTCATAGAGGGGGGTCAATACAAATGATCTCACATGGGAAATTTACTTACAATTCTCCCCAGTTCTCTCTGCCCTTCTCTCTTTCTATTCTGAGCCACCCACAACTCCAGCACGTCACCCTTTGCTCTGCCTACCTTTTAAACGCCATGCTCTGCAATTGTGCCTGCCCAGCAGTTCCTGGGAAGAATGACCCAGAGCCTCACACTGAGCCCCAGGTGCAGGCTAGTTGGGTTTTCATTCTAGACTCGGCTTCTCAAACTTTATTTAAATATACAAGTGAATCGCCTGGGCATCTTTTGAAAAATGCAGACTCTGATTCACAGATGGGGCCCAGGGACTGTGCTTCTGCATTTCTAACATGCTTCCAGGCGAAGCTGATGCTGCTGGTCCAACACACCAGCAGAGAACGCCGCCCCTCCTTTTGGAAGCACACGTGAATGCCGCTGCGGTGTGGAGATACAGGTGTGTGTGTGTGTGTGTGTGCACGCGCACCATTTATTGAGTCCTTACTATGTTCAGCAGTTTGTACACATTATCTTATGTTCACCTGATAACTAATCAAATGAATTAGGAGCTATTAGCTCTGCTGTACAAATGAGGAAACTGAGGCTCAGAGAGGTTAAAAACCTTGCTCCAGTGAGAGGTAGAGCTGAAATATGTTTTTACTGTGGATACCCAGCACTCACAGTAAAATAGAAACATGTTCCATTTTCTAAAATATTGGGGGCATATTTATTATCCAAGGACCACACTCTGACTCTCCAAAGGTTGTCATGCCATCGTGGCTGCTTTCTGCTGACCCTCCTGAGGCGTGGGTCCCTGGGACTCTGGGTGGGGAAACGCACCCCACTCTCATCTCAGGTGAAGCTGCACACAGGTGAAGTCTGTGAGCCCTCGCAGGTGAGTCTCAGTTCCCAATGTCATCCGACCTCTGTGGGAAGCCTTCCAGGTTTGCTGAGTTCAGGGCACACCTTTTGGTCAACATCAGTAGCACAATCATGAGCTTTGAAGAGATGGGAATGGATTTATACTCAGCTCAATGCCTTGGGTTCCGGGTCTTCCAGCAGCCTTTTGCTCAGAATGCTTGCATCTTGGGTAAAATCCAGAAAGCGCCGCTCCTTTGTTCCCTACCTCTTCATTTCCCATGGCTGGCCGGTCCCACGGCTGGCCGGAATGAAAGCTTCCGTTGCACCTGTTCTTTTAAGCTTTGATGATGTACTTTTTTTCTTTTTTAACAATGAGAATAATTGGGTTTTCTATTTGAAGGGTAAACAAACCCGGTTGTCAAGCTGTAATTTACCCTAATCTTTGTTGACATTCCTTAGAGGTCAAGGATAGAGGACTAAAGGACTTGGTTTTGTCCTTAACCTATAATGCCATGGGGCAGGGAGCAGTAGGGCTGAGAAACAACATATAGACAGGGAGGGGCAAAAGTAGGTTTACAGTTGTGAGTAAGTAAAACAGATTTCCTCCTGCTTTTGTTAAACACCTATTTCCTTCTGACTTACCTCTTGTTAGTCTGGATGTTTCCATCACTAGAGATAGGTAAGGTTTTTGATGGCAGGTTTTGATGAACTACATGTTATTTATCTTTGTATGCCTGGAGTGCCTAACCTACTACTATATCCATAGTAGGAGTTCACTAAATGTTTGATGCTGAGAGAATAAAAGATGGAACACAGAAATTTAACACGTTAAGGAACTGGTATGTATCTCAAAGTGGCACATTGAGGTTACAGCTGCCACGTGTCTGGGTTGGTTCTATAAGAGATGGAAGAACTACACCATCACCCCTGCCTTCCAGATGTTTCCCTCGTGAGAATTTTTTTAAAAATATATTTTATTGATTTTTTTACAGAGAGGAAGGGAGAGGAATAGAGAGTTAGAAACATCGATGGGAGAGAAACATCGATTAGCTGCCTCCTGCGCACCCCACACTGGGGATGTGCCCGCAACCAAGGTACATGCCCTTGACCGGAATTGAACCTGGGACTCTTCAGTCCACAGGCCGACGCTCTAGCCACTGAGTCAAACTGGTCAGGGCCCTCGTGAGAATTTTGCAGTGAAGAGTTTGGCTGGTTCCTGGGTGGGAGCTCATAAGAGGTATTGGGCCCCTTCTCGGTGCTCTGCCCTTCTAGAAGGAACAGTCCTCCCTGGGAGGGGTTGGGCATGGGGACTGAAGTCCTGCTGAGCTCCTTAAAAAGTCATCCCATTTAGAAGGCCACCGAGCCAGCCGAGGCTGAGAGATGAGGAATGGTGGCTGCTTGGCCAGACTCAGCTGTGATTTATTTATGGGGCACACCAACATTTGCTGGGACTTTTCCAAGAAGCAGTAGCTGGTTATTAACAACTAGAGAAAAAAGTTTCCTTCTCTTGGACTAGAAGGAAGGGTTGCTGGGTTGAGTTCTGTTTATCTGAGATGGGGTCTCCTTCATTCTAATCCTGGGCTTTTAGGGCTCTCTCGGCACCACTTAAGCCTTGGAGGTGATGGCAGGGAGGGGAGTGATTCTGTCCCTTGTAATTCAGCTCTGGGTCTTCAAGTTACATCCTTCCATCTCCCATGTGCCCGGAGAATGTGCAAGGGGCCAGCCGAAGTGAAGTGGGGGAAGCTGTGAGCACAAAGTCTGCACATAAAATACAAAATACACTTCCTTGTAAGAGTGAACCATGAAAACACTCTGTTCACAAAATGAAGGCAGAAGCCACCCCAGATTTTACTTGTTGAATATCTTGTATTACAATATGGAGTCAGATTCACAAAAAGTTTTAGCTCCCTTTTGCAAATATCAATTGCATTTGCAACAAACACTTATGAATCCCCTATAAAACTAATAGGCAAACCTATCTTAGCATAAAAAACTCAAAGAATTGCTAACCCCACTGGCCATTTGCTTCAAGAAGCGAGGACTTCACTTGATAGGGGTCAGATATTGTCTGTATTTCATCTATCACTTTAACTCAATCCTCACAACCACGACCCCATTTTAAGGATTAGGAGACTGAGGCTTGGGGAGGTGGACTAAGGTTGTACAATGGTGAGGACCACAGTAGGTGGCGCCTGGGGAGCTGAGGTCAGCCTCTCCATCCATGTGCTCGCCATCGGCTTCCTGAGCACCCTCCCACCCACAGAGCCCTGGGCACTGTGCCAGCGGGAAGTATTCTTGCTGTTTCCTTAAAGCATATGGGGTTCGAGGGGCAAATGGGGTTAAGGAGACCCAACAATCCTCTAAGTTGGTAAAGAGCTTTGGTTTATTCAAAGCACTTTACCTTTATCTCATTTGGTCACCCCAATAATCCTGTGACATGCACAGGGGTCACTAACCTAATACTTCCTGTGGTTCTACGACAGAAAGGACTGTCAGGTCTGATTGCATGATCATTCTACTCTCCTAGTATAATTTTTCTCAATTACAGACGAGGACACGAAGGCAGACCAAGGTTTAAGGAACTGATCCTGAGCTTACCCAGCTCCTTGCTGGCCAGGTAAGGACTTGAATCCTGGTCCTGTGTAGGTCTGTGTCTATGCTTGTCCCAGACTCAGGAAAGCCTTTGGCAGAAATGAGAGTCCCCAAGTCCCACCGAACATTTCAATCCAAACAAGCCCAGCCCCTTGCCGCTGTTAGGAAAGATTATATTTTGTAAGATCATCAATGAAACCGTCATATTAACTCCTGCTTCCTTTTCTCAAAATACCAGAGGCAGTCTCTCAAATCTACAGAAAACCTTGATATGTATAATCTGTTCTTTTTCCTTAAATTGTGAGATAGAGCATACCTGCATATAGGAGGTTGCAAAAACATTTATGTGCAGTTTATTTTTTTATTTTTTAAAATATTTTTATTTATTTTAGAGAGGAAGGGAGAGTGAGAGAGAGATAGAAACATCAATGATGAGAGAGAATCACTGATTGGCTGCCTCCTGCACGCCTCTCACTGGGGATTGAGCCCGCAACCCAGGCATGTGCCCTTGACTGGAATTGAACCTAGCACCCTTCAGGCCGACGCTCTATCAAAACTGGTTAGGACTATATGCAGTTTAAAGATAAATTATAAAGGCTAATTACTAATTCTGTTTTAAGAAATAGAACATTATTAGCATCCCAGGATGCCTCAAGCTCCTCCAATCATAACCTGTATTCTCCCACTAGAGGTGACCACCATCCTGCTGCTGGGGTCATTATTTTCTGGCTTTTCTTCATAGTTTTACCTACTATGTACCAGTATGCATCCCTGGACAACAGCTTCATTTGCCTATCTTGGAATTGTTACAAACAGATACACTCCATATGGTGTGTGTTCGTTTGCTCGTTAACATCTTATTTGGCCCTTTAGGAAACCCTGAGCCGGCGTCATGGCAGCCAAACCCAAGCTCTGGTACTTTCCTGGCCGGGGCAGGATGGAGTCGATCCGCTGGCTGCTGGCTGCAGCTGGCGTGGAGGTTGGTTCCTGACTGGGAAAGGGAAGGAGGGCAGTTGGGGTGAGACTGAAGTGAGCTTCTTCCCTCTTCAAAATTCAGGATGGTGCCTCCCAGCCACACTGGCTCTTTCTCTTTCCAGCTGTCTTCCTTTGTAAGAGATGCAGAGGGGATCATGGTCCTCGGTGTAAGCAGGGGTGGGAGGGCAGAAGCCAAGGAAGGTGTTCTGGGAGCTTTGTAGGGGCTGGAAAGATCTTGGTGGGTCATAAGATAAAGGAGAGTAAGGAAACCACATTTCTTTGATCTGGCCCAGCTGATTTCCTGGGGTCCTTTAGCTCTGCCGTAGCATCTTAGTTACGTGCTACCCAGGGCTGCCGACTGGAATCCTAGGCCCACTGCAATCTGGTCTCCCCTTGAATCATCCTCTGAAGAGCCTGCCCCACTGGGATCTTTTTTAACTCTGAGTTCCCTCTCCACTGACTTTTCATAGATTTTCACAAGTGTTATTGTTTGGTTTCATGCAGGTATAGACTTCCTTTTCTCTACTTCAATGTCATCTCCTCTGGAACAAGGGCTGGTGATCTTGGTTTTTCTCTATTCCCTTTAGGGAATTCTCTCCTAACACTGCTCACCTCATCCTACCCCCATCTCGAGGTTTGAGGGACAAAGGTCACTCTTCGTCTCCAAAGCTTTAGAAACTCCACCGATAAGTGATATTAACCTCACCTGAGTAATGATCTTTGGACCCCTTTCATTGAATATATGAGCATCAAAGAGAAATTTGATTAGAAGGAAAATAACACAGAAAGGAGAGGAGAAAGAAAAGAAAAAACAGAAGAGGAGAGATCATTGGGGAAGTTGGAGAAAAAGACAAGAGTTTGGAGAGAAGAAAGAGCTAAGGCAAAGGAAAGGAAAAATATGAATGGGGGATGTGGGGCATGCTTTAAGTAGGCCAGGAGCCAAAAGGGGTTCCAATCCCAAGTGACTCTAAGCTAATCTACACACACACACTCTATCAGAATTGTTCAGCTGTGTGGTAGTTGATGGCTTTGTGTTTTTTTAAAATTTTTTCCTTTCTTGAAGCCATTGGGCATTTTATACCAAGAGCATTTCCTCTCTCTCTCTCTCTCTCTCTCTCTCTCTCTCTTTCTCTCTCTCTCTCTCTCTCTCTCTCTCTCTCTCTCTCTCTCTCTCTCTCTCTCTCTCTCTCCCCCCCTCACATCTCTGTCTCTCAGCACCTTATTAAAGTTATAACAATGTTTCTGTCCTTTATCCAGTTTGAAGAAGAATTTCTTGAAACAAGAGAGCAATATGAGAAGTTGCAGAAGGGTAAGCTTAGATTTGTTCAATCTCATCTTATTGGAAAAAAATAGAAATGTGTTTCTGGAAGTACTCATTTCATTATAAAACACAGAACTCTGGAATGTCAACTATCAGAAAAGGCGCGCAGTATGACTGCTAACATGGATTGTCTGTTCACTGTGTCCCTGGCACGAAGCTGAATTTGTCATCTGCATAGTCTCTTTAGCCTTCATAAAAGCTTATCAAGTAGGTTACGACCCCAGACCTCAATTGGATAAGATGCATGAACATGGGTGACCAGTGCCAATTGGTTCAAAACTCCCCACCTCACTGAAGAATCCTTTAAGAATTCTTAAATAATGATCCAGTGGGCTGAAGGGGAAGGAGAAAAAAGGAAGGGAAATGTGACCTAAGATATTCTCTAGTTCTCATTGTTCATATCCACTTCTTCTTGGTGGTTTTAACAGATTAACGGAAATCATTCTATTAGGTCACAATTTTAGAATCAAGACCATAGAAAAGATCCAAATTTGTTTAAATGTGGATCCAAGAAGACATCTTTAATCCATACGATTCCCCAGAAAAATTTCTCAGAGAAAAAAAAAGAGTACTTTCAAATTTCTAATAGCTATAACATTATTGTTCTTATCTAAGGAAACCTGAGTGTCCCATTGTTGCTGATAAACAATCATTGACAAATTACTATTATTATTTTATTGATTTTTTTTTAATTTGAGAAAGAGGAAGGGAGAGGGGGAGAGAGAGAAACATTGATGTGAGAGTGAAGCATTGATCTGAACGCTCCCTAAAGGGGATTGAGCCCGAAACTCCAGCATGTGCCCTGACTGGGAATTAAACAGCAACCCTTCGGTGCGCAGGAAGATGCCCAATCAATTGAGCAATATGGGCCAGGGTGAATGTTTTTTAAGGAAAACATTCACCCAATAGTTAGCAAACCTTCCACTTACAAGCTGTGTGACTTTGGGCAACACCTTTAACTTCTCTACATCCTGTCTTTTAAAAAACATTTTTTTCTATTAACGTATAGTTGACACAAGTCTCCTCTTTACCATAACATAAAAATGATCTCTATGGTCATAGATTGCAGTGGGCCAGATCTTATTGAGTGGGGAAGGCCCGATCACCCCTTTCCCAATTCTTGTCCAGGAACGCCCCCGAAGCTCCTCTTCATCTTTATTTCTGCCCCACTTTCCCGCAAACAAGGACAGTTACTGGTGCATAGTAGGGATTAAATACATGCATATTGAATAAACAAATGAAAGTATCTCCATAATCTCGCCCATGATCACTCTGGCAAGAGTGCTCCCTAAGAGCCTCTAAAATCCTCCAGCTCTCTTTGAGTCTGTGATGCTGCTTTATTTCGGGACACCCTCCTGGCCATGCCTGCTGTTTGTGAACAAAAGGCAGAGAGGGACAGCAGAAAGGTCACTGGGCCACTGGGCTGGGAGTCAGAGGCCCACTTCTGCTGGCTTAGCTGTCCCCTGACTCTGTCAGTTTGGGCAAATCCCTTGTGCCTCCGTTGGCCTCCACCCTGCCATTGTCTAAAATATGAATGCTTTGAACTAAATGATCTCACACATCCTTTTCTGCACTCTTGATCTTAGATTTTTTTAATCCTCCAGAAGACGATCATCAGCTCCTGATTCTAATGGATATTTGCATCATAAGCAGTAGAGCCCAGCTTCAGATACTCCTCCAATATTGGACAAATGTAGAACTTTTAGGAAATTGATGTCTCAATAGCAGTATTCATATTTACAAAGCATGTTTACTAGTATGATCTTATTCCTACGCAAAGAAACTCAGTAAGACAGGACAGATAGCGTTACAGATCAGAGAATAAGCTCAGAGAAGCTAGAGACTTGACTAACGTCGTCATCTAGAGAGGGACACTGGCTCCCTGAAAGCTGTTCCTGGTTTCTGAACTGGTGTTCTCCCCACCATCCTCTACTGCCTCCCACTAAGTACAGTAGGAAAGGTAGTGAAATTGGGGAAATTAATTGTGGCCTTTCCCAATGTACTAGTGAAGTCTGGTTTTTATTCTGGGTCAAGTTCCTTAATCTCAGCAATGTAGACGTGTAAATGAAATATAAAGGCTATTCAATTCTTCCAGACCCCATGAAAAGAGCACTATTTGTAGTATTTATTTTTTTAATGTATTTATTTATTTATTTTTGGTTAATCCTTACCCAAAGATATTTTTCCACTGATTTTTAGAGAGGGTGGAAAGGAAGGGGAGAGACAGAGAGAGAGACACATCGATTGTTTGCCTCCCACATGCACTCCGACCAGGGCCGGGATGAAGCCTGCAACCGCAGTACATGCCCTTGACCAGAATTGAACCTAGGACCCTTCAGTCCGAAGGCTGACGCTTTATCCACTGAGCCACACAGGCTAGGACTGTCGTATCTTTTTAAAACACATTATTATATAGGCAGTCATTCACAAAGAAGAAAATTTGATTTTACTAAACATCTACTATTGACAGTATTTAGTATTTTACTAATGTTATCTCATTTCATCTTTTCAAAAATCCTGCTAGATAGGTATTATTACTATTTTAGAGAAAAGGGAGCTGAAGCTCTAAGTAAGTCATGGCTGAAAAGGGCTGAAGCTGGCATTCAGACCTGGGTATGCCAGGGTTCTTAGTATCACATCATCTGATGTTGTATGGACCTAGAGTGCTACCTGATGTACTTTTTAAAGAATTCAGACTCCCAGACTCCACCCCTGAATGAGGACATCTGGGAAGTGGGTGGATATTTTTAACAACCCACCTCCTCCAGGCGATTCTTGTACACTCTAAACTTTGAGAATCAGTCCTAGTAAATGTAGAAAGTCCTAAATAGCCCGGCTGGCATGGTTCAGTAGTTGAGCATCAACCTATGAGGTCACAGTTCAATTCCCAGTCAGGTCACATGCCTGGGTTGTGGGCTCAATCCCCGTTGTAGAGTGTGCAAGAGGTAGATGATGAATGATTCTCTCTCATCATTGATATTTCTATCTCTCTCTCCTCCCTTCCTTTCTGAAACCAATAAAAATATCTTTAAAAAAAAATCCTAAATAATCACGACTAACCAACACACAAAAATGCATGAACCATCAAGCAAATCTCAAATTTTCCATTAAGCAAATGGTAGCTTTTTCCTCAACAACTGGGGTCTTTAACTCACCACTTTGGATAAAAACTAAAAATCATTCAACAAAATTAAAAGTGGACATTTTTGCAGGCTTACAACAGCCATGGAAGGAGAGTATTTTAATCTTTCTTTGCTCAAATCACAGATGGGCGCCTGCTTTTTGGCCAAGTGCCTCTGGTTGAAATTGATGGGATGATGCTGACGCAGACCAGAGCCATCCTCAGCTACCTGGCTGCCAAGTACAACTTGTATGGAAAGGACCTGAAGGAGACAGTCAGGTACGATAGGATTTATGCCTGTACTTGATTCTTTTTTTTTTTTTTTAATTAAATCTTTATTGTTCAGGTTACATTTGTTCCTCTTTTTTTCCCCCCCATAACTCCCCTCCTCCCAGTTCCCACCCCACCCTCCGCCCTCACTCCCCACCCACTGTCCTCATCCATAGGTGCACGATTTTTGTCCAGTTTCTTCCCGCATCTCCCATTCCCCTTTCCCCCCCAAGAATAGTCAGTCCATTCCCTTTCTATGTCCCTGATTCATTATAATCACCAGTTCATTCTGTACATCAGATTATTTATTCACTTGATTCTTAGATTCACTTGTTGATAGATGCATGTTTGTTGTTCACAATTTGTATCTTTACCTTTTTCTTCTTCCTCCTCTTAAAGGATACCTTTCAGCATTTCGTATAATACTGGTTTAGTGGTGATGAACTCCTTTAGCTTTTCCTTATCTGTGAAGCTCTTTATCTGACCTTCAATTCTGAATGATAGCTTTGCTGGATAAAGTATTCTTGGTTGTAGGTTCTTGGTATTCAGCACTTTGAATATTTCTTGCCATTCCCTTCTGGCCTGCAAAGTTTCTGTTGAGAAATCAGCTGACAGTCGTATGGGTATTCCCTTGTAGGTAATTGCGACTCTTTCTCTTGCTGCTTTTAAGATTCTCTCTTTGTCTTTTGCTCTTGGCATTTTAATTATGATGTGTCTTGGTGTGGTCCTCTTTGGATTCCTTTTGTTTGGGGTTCTCTGCGCTTCTTGGACCTGTAAGTCCATTTCTTTCACCAGGTGGGGGAAGTTTTCTGCCATTATTTCTTCAAATAGGTTTTCAATATCTTGCTGTCTCTCATCTTCTGGCACCCCAATTATTCTGATGTTTGTACGCTTGAAGCTGTCCCAGAGGCTCCTAACACTATCTTCATATTTTCGGATTCTTTTTTCATTTTGCTTTTCCGGTTGGGTGTTTTTTGCTTCTTCGCATTTCAAGTCTTTGGCTTGATTCTTGCGCTCCTCTGGTCTGCTATTGGGTGTCTGTATAATATTCTTTATTTCAGTCCGTGTATGCTTAATTTCTAGTTGGTTCTTTATCATAGCATCGAGGGTCTCATTAGTTTTCGTGACTCTCTCCTCAAGTTTATTGACAGCTTCTAGCACATTTTTGCAAGCCCTCAAAATTGCGATTTTTAGCTCTATATCCTCCATTTCTGTCATGTTTTTTTGTCTCCGCATTTTTTATGCTTTCTTGGTGCACCCCCTAGTGGTCTTTGTGCGCAGTCTTGTTCTAGTTGAGCCTTGATTGTTGTAGTTAATACTAGAGGGATTTGACCACCAGGCCGACTGGCTGTGTGAATCAGCTGTGTCTGCCGCTAAAAACTTCTGTCCTCTGGGGAGGTGCTAATCTAGCCTTTGCCTGAGGCGATCCGGCAAATGGCTCTGCGCAGGGCTTGGGCGGGGCGGGCTCAACAGGGCGGGCGGAGGGAGCGGTTATGGTGCCCTCAGTCCCGTTCCCAGAGGCTCTGCTTCTCAGAACCCCAGGAACCGCTGCAAACCTCGGAGAGAAAGCTGCCTTCCAACTGATGCCAGACACTCCCGCTTCTCCCGTTTGGGTCCGAGTCCCCAGCGATTTGCCCGTATCTGGAGCTCAGAGTCTGAGACTCCCCCCTGACCGAAAACGACAACCGCGCTCTCAGCCACCAGCCCGCTTTGCGCGCGCACCTCCGCACCTGAGTATTTTCCACACTGCGCCTCCTCTGAGCCTCGGTGTGCTGTTATTTTTCCTTCTAGTTGAAGAGTCTCTCCTCAGCCAGCCTTCCTGTGGTTCTGGGTGATGTCCGTTCCGTCTTTTAGTTGTATTTTTGAAGTGGTTGTTTGCGGCAGCAGTCTCCGGTGTTTACCTATGCCGCCATCTTGGTCTCCTCTCCTGTACTTGATTCTTATCCAGGCCTCTGTAGGTACCCACTGAGACCTTCAGCCTGGACTGAGGGGGAAGGCAAGGCAACAAGGGGAGATGTACTCTTGTTACACCCAGCATGACTTATGCTTAATTCTGAATAAATACTCTAGGCTTCTCCTTTTACTGCTCATAGCAATCTGCATTCAACATTCTCACATTCTCTCTCCACTCCTAACAAAATATCTTCTCATAAAATGACCTGGCAAACTATTTTACATGAAGGTGGAAATGAATGAACTAATAAATAAATATTGAGCGATGAGCTATTACTGCAAATAATGCAGTGCAATACATCCTGAAGTCCATTGATGTAAATCAGCAAGTGTTTATTATTACTTACCAGTCTATGGGTCATCTGAGTGGTGGCCGTATCTGGGCCCGGCTTGACTTATCTTGACTGAACTCACTCATATGTCAACCAGTAGTCAGCCAGGAGGCTCTGGTTGTGGGTGTTGGCTGAATATTGATTGGGAGGCAAATAGGCCATACACCTTCCATCTTCTCATTTTTTTTTTTAAAGATGTGTTTATTGATTTTTAGAGAGAAAGGAAGGGATAGGGATAGAGAAATAGAAACATTAATGATAGAGAAACATCAGAGATTGGCTGCTTTCTGATGCCCCACACTGGGGATTGAGCCCACAACCCTGACATGTGCCCTGACCAGGAATCAAATTGGTGTCCTCTTGGTTCCTGGGTCAATGCTCAACCATTGAGCCACACCAGCTGGGCCCTATCCTCTCATCTTGAACTTGTCTCATGGAGGCTAGGCAGGGTGCTGAGATAGTGAAAGTACACAAGGCCTCTTAAGTACTAGGCCAAAAACTAGTTACTTATTAATTTCTTCTCATTCTATTGGTCAAAACAAGTTACAAAGGCAACCCAGGAAATAGACCCCATCTATTGATGGAAGAAAGTGCAGGTTTTATCACAGATACTGGAGGGTGAACATTTATGGCTATTTGGATGATTGGTTTAATTTCACAGGAGATAAGTAGATTTAAGACAAAACAAATATAACTATAAAAGTTTATCTGGATTTTGGGTCAAAGGGCATTTTCAGTGTTCTCTTATATCTTATCACCATAAGCATGGATATGATGAGATGGTCAGTAAATACAGAAGACTTGGTGAAGTAAGGCCCACGCTCAATTGTTCAGAAAAAGGAGAGATCCTAACATAGAAATGAGCAGTCCATAAACAGAGGCAGCTTACCCCAACTTTCCCATAGCTCTATCTTTAAAATGGATTTAGTCCTTCTAACCTGGCAATCCCAAGGGTACATGCCCAGAGAAGCAATTTCAAACACAGCGTATGAATAGAATCCTTTTATAACAACATAAACAAATACTAATGTGCAAAAACTGCCTGCTTCTCATTGTCTCAATGCATGTTTTTAATTGTTGTTTTTTAAATACCAGTGGCTTTTTTTCCAAGATGTGTGTCCGAAACTATAGTTAGCATTGTTAATATTCTTTGCTCCAGGTTGGGCATAAACTATAATAGACTAAAGCAAGCAGGCTACATGGCAATCTAACTTGGAAGAAAAAGCATTTGTAACTCAGCTAGGACAATGACAGTATATTATTATTTCATATATGTTAAAAAGAAAGACAAAAACCAAGAAGACCATTAAGTTTGTTGGACGCTTAGCACATAGTGGGTGTACAAAGACACACAACCCTTAATGAGTTTGCAAACTGGTTGCAGAGATAACTAGCATAGCATGAAAATAATAGTAATGTATCTACTATGATTAGACTTTTAATAACCTTTTTAAAAAAGTGTTTGCCAAAAAAACCCACTTTTTTCAAAGGAAAAATTTTAAGAGAATAACATGAGTTGTTTGTCCGACCTGACTAGGAAAGTAAACTTCTTTCTCAGATGCCAGGTCAACAGAAGACCTGATAAATGATATATCTTCCAAGTGAAAAGGTCCTGGTACTAAATTGTTTTGTTTTTTTCGGTAAACTTCATTCTTTTCGGTCTTTAAATCCATAATAAACTAATTGCTTGTTTATGGAAGGTTTCAACTTAGAATCACTCATTAATTCTTTCTCGCGTCCCTTTATTCACTAAACATTTCCAGAGACCCTACTATACCGAGATCACTAGGCTGGTTCTGGCTTCAGAAATCATTCCTGAGCATAGACACGAAGGGAGGGAGAATCAAGTCATTCGCCCCAATTCCTATTAAACCACAGAAGTTGCAGGTTGGGAACCCCGTACTGGAGGCTTCCTCGGGGAATGAATCACACTGTGTTTTGTCAGGATCAACATGTACGCCGATGGCACTCAGGACCTCATGGGGATGATCATGATGGCTGCGTTCAAACCCCCAGAGGAAAAAGAGGAGAACATCGCTTTAATTGTGACAAAAGCGAAAACCCGTTACTTCCCGGTCTTTGAAAAGGTAGGCTGCAGGGATCCAACCCTGCGGTGTGGCCGGTGCCCAGATGCTCCAGCGACAGCTGCGTACTCAGATCCTGTGGGGCGGGGCTGGGGGAGAGGGGGGTAGATAAGGGAGGAGCTGACCTCTCGGGACCACCCTCCAATCCTCCTCTTGTCCCGGAGCGGAAATGGAGAAGAGAAGGACGAAGCTGGGAGGGAAGGCGGGAGCGGGGCGGGGCAAGGCAAGTTCCCACCTCCCCTTCCCAGGCTGCAGGGATCCAGGCCTTGCACATTTCCGATTGCTGATAAGACTAAAAGAGTGAGTATCCGAAAAGACAGAAACCATGTTAGGGCTCTCCTGCATCTGGACTAAAACTTTAGTAAGGATTCCAAAACAAATGGCATGTCTAATTATGGAACCCGCAACACAACAGACTTAGAATAGACCAAATACAATGAAAGGATACAGTATTTCTGTTCTGATTTAAACAAACAAACAAACAAACAAACAAACAAAATGATCAGCCCAAGGCATCATCATCTCAATTCATTGTGTCAGATATTTCTTTAGGCTTTAATACTGTTGGCTAATCATGCCTCACTCAAAAGACAAAGCCTCTTAAAGTTACAATTTTTCTGACATCATTTTGGGGCAAATGCTAATTACAGATGTCTTCTCAGTATATCTGTTAAAGTTCCAGGAGGGCAGCATGCCACATGATAAAGACTTGTTAGTATAGGGTTCCATATATAAAGGTTTGCAGGACAACATAATTCTGTGGTATAATTCAGAATAATTCAGCCTTCGCCTTGAAAAAGAATGATTTATTGTTGACCAAACTATAATGAGTTTTGCCAGAAGCTCAGAGTATTAGACAAGCAGGTTCCTGCTTATTTGGGGACAATGTGCAGTGATGTTGAAATACCTTTCATTGAAAAAGGGAAAAACTAGTATGATTATTTAAGTTATGGTGTTGTGAACTGGGCTTTATCATATCATGGATTTTGAAATATGTGTGGCCTAATCCCAGCACATCCCAAAATATTTAAAATAATTCATTTGTTCAAATCAGGATCAAACTCAATTTCGTTTACTGTAATTAGTCAATTACATAATATTTTAAAATAGCTCCCTTTAATTTCAGGTTCTTTCCTCTTGCTTTCTCTCCTCTTTCTTCTTGCATTTGTCTTGCCAGGTTTCTCACAGCCTGGATTTTACTATTGCAACATAACTCTTTCATTCCTTAGATTTTCTGTCAATTGGGAGTTAGAATTAGAAGCTTGACAGGTTCAAGTTTGATGTGTTTTGGCCAGACCGCTTCATCGGTGGTGTTGTGTAGTTCCTTAGGAAGCACATATTATCTGGTTGTCACTGTTCTTATGACTCAATGTAATTTATGATCGGTGCCTAGACCCACTGATTTATCAGTAGATGCAAATGTTGACATCCCAATCCTGCCAGTTGCTCTTCACTTATTAGCTGGAATCCTTTCTATAAAATGACTCTTTTCCTCATAATATATTTGGTTACTCTGGGATATGGTTTTTGTAGGAAAGTAGGATAAATGCTACTTTCTTTATATTCACCACGTTTGGACTTCTTGTATCCCATTTGTGATTTATTTGTATTTGTGGTACAAATCATGACCTTTGTGTCGCCCTCTTCTGGTGGGTGGGGACACTTTTACTTAACCAGCTCTAGTCTCATAACAGGGAGCTCCATTCTGGCACTTTACCAACCCACGAAGTCTTGATAATCACTGACAAATTTCCCAAAAGACGGTGCTAATTTACAGTGATGTGAAAGAGTATCGGTTTCATCCTGTCCTTGCCAGCATTCTTGAGGATTATCAAGACCAAGATTCTTTAGCAAATTTGATCTGTACATGTTTTGTAAGTGTTTAGCCAGGCAAAATAGTCTCTACTTTTATTTGATATTCTTTGTTATTTTTCTTTCTGCAGATTTTGAAAGACCATGGAGAGGATTTCCTTGTTGGCAACAAATTCAGCTGGGCAGATGTACAGCTCTTAGAAGCTATCTTAATGGTGGAAGAACTCAGTGCTTCTGTTCTCTCGGACTTCCCTCTGCTAAAGGTAGTGTGTTAACATCTACACAAAACCCAGGGGGAAAATGAATAAAAACAAAGAACGAAACGAAGTGTGCCTCCAGGTCAATCTCAGAAGGGACTCAAGAAGACTGTTTTAAAAAATCATTATTTTATCATTTTGTAATTTTCTCCTGCTCACACTATAGGATCATTCTATATATATAAAAAGCCAGCAACCCGAATGCCGAATGCCGAATGACTAGAACGACCGGTCACTATGACGCTCACTGCAGCCAGTCCTGCTCCCAATTGACCCCCCAACCCCGATTGGC